TCTTTGAAAAGCAAAGACACTTCCCTTCCCCAAATCCACATGGGAATCCAGCACAAACAACTTCCTTGCTGTTTTCCCTTCCAAGCAAAGCTTCCAGAAAATTCTGGAAGCCAAATATTGGCTAAACCCCACAGGTCTGTGCAAACACATCATCTCCACAGGAATCCCAGTGTCAGAGGGCAGGGATGGATGGGATATTGGGAATTAGGAATTGTTCCCTGGCTGGGTGGGCAGGCCCTGGCACAGGGTGCCCCTGAATCCCTGGAGTGCTCAAGGCCAGGTTGGAACCACTTTTGCAGGGTTGTTGTTACTGCTGGGTGACTCCTGAGAAGATTAGTTCAATTTTATCCTGTAAAGAGCAATTATCCTTGCCAGAAAGAGGAACAACATTCCAGCTGTCCTGGCTGGTGCCACCTCAAAAGCCATGTGTGAATTACCTGATTCTGCTCCTGTTGTTGCTGCAGCTTTGATCCAGCTCCAGCTTTAGGCTGGGATCAGCTGGGCTCAGTGCAGACAGGAAAATCACTGACACTCCCTTCTTCCAGAAATTAGGAAAAAAGGCAAAACTCCTCAGTTCTCATCTAATGGGCTTCTGAGAGCCTCCAAAATTCACCTGATGAACTGCACTGCTCTTTGGGCTTATCAAAGCTTGAGGTTTAACAGTGCTTTGTAATAAATACATGCCTTCCTCAGACTGCAAACAATGGTAACTCAGCACCATGGAACCATGGAATGGCTTCCCTTGGAAGGGATCTAAAGTTCATCTCATCTCACCCCTGCCATGGGCATGGACACCTTCCACTGTCCCAGGGTGCTCCAGCCTGGCCTTGGGCACTGCCAGGGATCCAGGGGCAGCCACAGCTGCTCTGGGCACCCTGTGCCAGGGCCTGCCCACCCTGCCAGGGAACAATTCCTAATGCCCAATATCCCATCCAGCCCTGCCCTCTGGCACTGGGAAGCCATTCCCTGTGTCCTGTCCCTCCATCCCTTGTCCAAAATCTCTCCATGTTTCCTGTAGCTCCTTCAGGCACTGCAAGGCCACAGTTTGGTGACCCCAGAGCTTCTCCTGTCCAGGTGAGCACCCCCAGCTGTGCCAGCCTTTCCTCCCAGCAGAGCTGCTCCATCCCTCTGCCCATGCTGGTGCCTCCCCTGGGCTCTGCAGCAGCTCCAGGTCCCTCCTGTGCTGGGGCAGCTCTGCAGGTGGGGTCTCACCTGAGCCCAGGGGCACAGGGGCAGAATCCCCCCCTGCCCTGCTGCCCACGCTGGGGCTCAGCCCAGGGCACGGGGGGGTTCTGGCTCCCAGCTCTCATCCCCAGCACCCCCAGGGCTGCTCATCCCCAGCCTGGATCCATCCTAGGGGTTGCCCTGACCCAGGGGCAGCACCAGCACCTGGCCTGGTTGAACCCCTGAGATTCCCATGGGCCACTTCTAGAGCTTGTCCAGGTCCCCTTGAGTGGCCCTGTCCTTCAGGAGATTTTAAAAGTTTTTCTGCAGCAGCAATTGAGGGGTGGGCAAGTGTGTGCAGGAAAACAAGGTGAGAACCATTTACCCCCAGCTGGAAATTATCCCTAATTTTAACCTTGCCAGTTACACCTTGTGTTTACTGGGGTAAACTCCTGGAAAATGGAGAAGCCTCTTCCCAGCCACTGAGAACACCACACAGAAGGAACTTGGGGACAATCACTCTGGCTGTCATGCACTGGAGGTCCTGTAAATATCAAGCAGTATTCCCTTGGAATGTGTGACAGTTTCCAGGAAGCATTTCCATGGCCAAACCTGCCCATTCCCACTGGGTGTTTGCTCAGCATTTGCTAAAAAATAACTTTTTTTAGTTTTCCAATCCCTTTTCCATTTTGCTGATTGTTTTCTAGGTCCTGGAAAACAGTCCTGTGATGGGAGGATGCTGAGTGACTGTTCTGGGGCATTTCTGCCAGCAGACACTTGTAATCCACCACAACCACACTGTCCTTTCCCTTGCTCCAAATCCTGCGTGCAGGGACTCCCCACCATTAATACAAACACATTTAATATGAATATTTGATTTCCCAACAGATCCCTGACAGATCTATGGCTCTTTTTTTTATAGTCTTAAGTAGTAAATACTTAAACAAGGGAGAAAATAGAAATAATTCCATTTTCCACCTTGCTTTCCTTTTCCCCTCCCAGTGGGAATTACACTGCCCTACCAAAACCCCAGAATTTCTCATTTGGATCTTCCCTTGTCTGAAACTGTACCAGATGCTGTGCTAAGCCACAAAATCCTGCTTGGAGGAGTGCAGGCATTAAATGAGTGGCAGGAGGGGTGATTATCACCTTGATCCACCAGCGAGTGCTTCTGCCACTCCGGGGAGGCTGCTCGTGCCTTGCCTCAGCCCAACAAATTTCGGTGCTTAAACAGCTGCAAATTACATCCCAAGGCACAGATCTGGAATTCTACTCCCTCTATCCAAAGCTGGGTTAATGCCTCCCTTCCCAAAGGGAAATAAAAGGGATTTTTTTTGTTTTTTTTACTGGCTCAATCTGTGAGGTTCCTGCTGTTGGTTCTGGCTGCCAGGGCCTACTCACAGCCTCAAGTCCAGAGTTATTTGTGGCATGGCATCCCCAAAAGGTAAAGTTTGGAATTCTGTATTGATTTACAGGATGACACCCCCAGAAAATAAAAGGAAAAAAAAAAAAAACCCACACCCCAAAATCTTGTACACCTGAGAAAAATTTTCCCACAGTATTCCCAATTTAAAACATTTAGCTAAAATTGAGTTAATTTTAGATAAGACAGGCCCCCATTGCTGAAAAAAAAGTGGTAATTCTGATCTCTGCATTGTGGGAGAAGCTCTGAGCACCTGGACAACACAAAGGAGTAGGTGGGGATAGAATTTCCCTTGGATAATAAGCAGGGACATCACTACTGACCACCAGTGTCCAGCCCCAGGATCCTTCCCAGAGATACACATGCTGTAGTTGGTTTAGAAATAAAGAAACAATTTCTGTTTTCCCTCAGAAAATTGGGAGAAAATGAATATCAGGAACAGAACTGACAGACTTTGCAATAAAAGTGAGGCAGTGAAATAATAACAGTGTCTTAAACAGGATTAAAATATACCATTTTACTCATTATTTCAAAGAATAGATTTTTTTTTTCTTTCTTCCATCAGTCTTATCTGTATGTCCAGCCTCCAGCGTAACTCCAAACAGCTGTTTTAGCGCCGGTCCCAAGTGCAAATATGCCAAGAAAAAGTAATTAGGGCAAAGAAACATCTGGTGGGTTTGTTTCCCCCACGTGTGAGAGGCTACAGTGCATTTCTCTTGCCTGAAAACAAGCACCATTTTGCTCAAAATATTTGGTCAGAAACCTCAGCTTGAGAAGGAGGTATTGGACAGAGAAGTCACATCGACACCACATGCAGACAGCTCCCAAAGACAAACATTCCCAGGGATCTGCTGGGGGAGAACCTGGGCAAAGGGAAACCCAACACAGCCACAGCAGCACAAAGTCCTTTTGCTGCCAGAGCAGAGCCATCCTCACCCAGACCTGGTGGTGAGGCCTCAGCAGCTGAAAGGGAAGAGAATGGTGGTGCCAATCTCTTCCTTGCTGATTACACACATTTATCTGCTGGCTCTTCCAATCTTTCCAGAGGAATCCAGGTTGTTCTCACAATTGGTTTGGTTTTACCCCAAAAATGTTTGCACAACACAACAGGACACTTTTCTCATGTGAATGTGGTTCTGCTTTTTTTTCTTTTGCTGCTTCATACTGGAGAAAACTACATTCTTTGTCTTTTTTTGGGTGTTGGTGACACCAAACAGTGAAAATTCTCAGCTCCCTGCCCAAGCTGTGACAACATATTCAAAACCTCAAGGTAAAACCAGAAATTGTAACCAGCTGCCTGAGTTTATGTTGTGTATTTCACAGGTAATGGGTGCTTAAAGTTTTGGAAACAAACTCTGTGTGTGTGTCCTGAGACCCTTTGCCCTTCCCAGATCTGTCTGTGCACGTTCACCTCATAAAATATTCCCTTTTTCTCCTGTTCCCTGTGGGATCCATTTGTCTTTTCAGCACGTTTGTGTTCAGTTAGCAAAGTGCAATGGTGATGGCACCGCTTAACCCACCAGCCAGCTGGGCTTGGGAATGGATCCATCCTCTTCCCATTATCTCCTCTTTAGTGCCTCCCACTGTCACAGGCTCATGGATCATCCTGCTTTATTCCAGAGGAATACAGCCATAGGATGACAATTACTGATAGACCACAAAAGCTGGAGCTAAAGACCATGGAAAGAAGCAAACACAACTGATGTGGGAAGAGATGAAAAGATGAAAAATTGACCAGAGAAGAAAACTGGAACGAGCTAATTTACAAAAGAAAATGAACAAACCATGGCCAGGTAACTCTGAATAAGATTAATTGCTACACATTGCCTTCCTCTTTTGCAATTTTTATCTTAATTCAGCTTCTCTTGCAATTTTCTAAGTGGCAGTGCTGTAATCTCAGGAACTTTGATTCCGTAACTTTGCCAGCTGGGCATTGTTTGCATAAATTGCTCTGACTTTGGAACTGGGACTCAAATTCCAGCAGCAGCCGAGGATTTGCTCCATTGACTTGAATGGGTTTATTTTTAATTTATTACTCTGAGGTCAGAAGGCAGAGCTCTGGATATCAATCTTGAACATAAATAGACAATTCCCAAATCTAGACAGTAGAGCCACAAGTACCATACAGAAAAACAAAGCCAGGCAGGTGTAGAACTGTCTGGAGGGTTAAACCAATGGGGGCTGTGCATTTATTAGTAGTTTACTGTTTATTAAACAAGAACTCCAGATCCAAAAAGAACTCATTAATTGAAACCAAGTAGTGTTTAGTGAAATGGGAGCCTGTCAAAACTGGGAGGGGGGACAATGGATCGGTCCAAATGTGAGTGCAAATTGTGTCTGGGAATTTTAAAGCGTGCCGTTTGTCATGGACAACGGATGTGCACCATACAAACTCTGTACGTCTGCCCCTGGGTGACAATAAAAAGCGCAGTTTATTATAAACCGAAGTAAAAACCAAAATTAAAAAAAAAAAAAATCAACTAAAATCACAGTTTTGTCATTGGTATGTGAAGGTTGTTCCAAGGGCCCATCCAGAGCTCCTCCTCGTCGGACTGTGTGTGTTCACTGTGCGACTCCAAGGGCTCCTTGACTTCCTCGTGGTCAACAACCGATTCCTGCTCATCTGTGCTTTTCAGTTTGGCCGCCCCGGCCTTTGTCACTACATTTTCAGCCCCTATACTAGAGGAAAAGGACACACTGCACGGCCTGGAGTTCATTTTGTCACCGGGGGACGGTCCCTTGGACAACGTGTTCAGCGGGACGCTCTCCTCGTGCGTCACCGCCAGCTTGTCCAGTTTCTTGAACTGCTTCCCCAGCCTCACTGGGGAGGTGACTTTTAAATTGTTGCCCAGGCAGGCGCGGCGGGTGCGCACCACGGAGCCATTCTGGGCCACGTAGACGTTGCTGCTGCCGTTGGCTTGGAAGCCAGGGTTGCTCAGCCGGTTCCTCTGGCTGGAGTCGGGAGCGCTCTCCTCGCCTGTGGAGCTGGTCTCGTACTCCGGGTCCACCACCAACTTGATCCTCTTCTTCTTGGCCCACTGTTGGACAACACAAAAGAAATGTCAGGGCAACCCAGCAGTTCATTTCCCTGCCCTTTCTGTTCGTTTATTAATGACTCTCATCAGTTTCTATTAATTTTGTGCCATTCTCCCTTGGATGTGCGCAGAAACGGGAGGGCCCTGAGGAGGAAGCTGCTGTGTGAGAGATACCTTTAAGAAACTACTCCAAGGTGTAAATTCTAGGAAGGCCTTGGAAGTTTTCTTGGGAGTTTTGCATTGTGAATTCCGTGCACTGGCCAGCTCTGCTTTGTGTGCATCACACATCCAGCAGAGAAAATCCCGGGACATACACCAGGGAAAATCTCAGGCACGGCGCTGGCAAAACCGTCTGGTTACAAAAAAGAGCAGCTCCATGTAAGGCTTTGTGACTGTTCCAGACAGGTGGGATCAGTGGAAATGCTCAGGAAGATGGTGGAGAAACCATATATTATATATTATATAACAAATATTTCTTCAAAGAATTAATGCAAACAATTTCCACGCTGCTGTGACTCTGTAGTAGCAGTGATTGCTCTATGGTGAGCACACAACCCCCACTAGTTATTATAATTTATAATTGATCTTTTAAAAATAAATGCCTCCTTGCACCACACTGAAAAGAGCTATTACCCTTCTTGAATGAATAATTCAAACACTAGGATGCCATCACAGTTAACCCCCACTGCAAAACACACACAGGAAGATGAGAAAAGCCAGTTTTTAGAGAAAAAATCATGCAAGGTACAAATAGGTGATTACTCTTCAGCTTTTGAGAAGTTAAACTTGCTAAAAATTACTTGGATGCCTGTTTTATTGTTCCTGGAAAAGACAGACAATGTTCTACACATGGATATATTCCAGTGGATCTATTCCTGCTTAGTTTAAGTGGAATTTACATGAAAACATTATGTGCAGCTATAATGTTGTGTTGTGTGGGGACACAAAGGGGCTGGTAAGTGACTATGGATCAAGTTTAAAGAGATGAAAATAAAATAAAATAAAATAAAATAAAACCACTATACTGTGATAGGCAGGAAATGCAGAATGTGGGAAATGTAATCCATTTCCTTTCCTGACCCAGCTCACTTGGTCCTCCTGCCTCAGCATTCCTGGCTTGTGCATCACTAGTGTTTGCAACCTGAATCCTGTGATGCAGTAACAGCCCAATGCCAGCTCTCCCAGTTATCCCCTGCAGTTTTGGGAATGTTTGTTTTGCTGCAATTCCACTTGTCCTCCCTGCAAACAGAGCTGGCCTTGGCAGCAGAGAACTCACCTGAAGATTAGCAAATGTATTAATACAATATTAACGTATAAGGAGAAAACATGGATGATTTTTAGATCTTTACATCCTCCTCATCATTTGCATTCTTCCCTAAATCCCATGTTCCATTGCTCCATGAAAATGAAACTTTCTATATTTATGACTGAGTATATCTATAGTGTGTGTTTAGATATGTATGTATATTTTTATATATATCCACAGGACTGGAATTAGTTTGGTTTTCCACAGTTCTCTCCCAAGGACAATGGAATGCTGGATCAATACACTTTGCCCTTTCCTTTTGGCTGTCTCCAGCCTGTCAGCATTGCTTAGGAAAAACCACACAGAAGGCACAGCAAACAGAGCCACTCCTCACTGCAAACCATCACCTACTGTCACTCCTCTTTAAAAGGAGGTAGAATCACCCGTGGCCTCCGACTCTGTAACTCCAGTACCCAGAGCCTCCTCTGACTGGGACTGGCTGCTTTCCTGGGACATCTTTTTCCTTGTTTTCATTCCTTTCCTGTTGGTGTCAGAGCTCTGAGTCTCAGGGGATGTGGCAGTTTTCCCGGACGTGGCGCTACCTGAGCTTTTTGTCCCTGTGGTACCTTTGGAAGTCGCACTGATTTCACTGTCTAGGCAAGAAGATTCATTCTTACTGGCAGTGTCCTCCCTCTCACTGTCTTCTGGATCAGCCTCTTCACTTTCCTCTTCGCTGTCCTCACCAGGAGCAGCTGACTGTCCTCTCTTGCCCCCTCCAGCAGCAGCAGCTTTTGCTGTGGCACTTTTAGAAACTGCCTTGTTTGAGCTACCTGCTGTCTCCTCTACCTCTTCCTCTTCTTCTGACACCTCTTCTATGGTGTCATCTATTTCCACACTGGCAGAGGAGGTTTTGCTCTTGTAGCTGGATCCCGAGGTTTGCTTGTGGCTCGTGTCCCTGTCGCTACCCGAGGCAGTGGAGCTCACGGATTTCTGGCTGGAGCGTTTGCCACGGGAGCTGCCTGCCCTGCTTTTCACACTGGACATTTCCGTGCTTCTTCTGCTGCCAGACTCGCTGGTCCCTGACCTGCTGTAGGAGCTCCGTGTGGATGAGCTCTTGGACAGACTGCCATCCTCATCGGTCTCAGACTCTTCCTCATCATCATCCTCTTCTGATGATTCCTCCTCCGACCCGCTGCTGGAGCTGGATTCAGACTCCTCATCGGAATCCCCCACATCCCCAGTCTCCTCATCTGAGTCCACAGTGCTTTCTGTGGCCTCATCCTGATCCAGGGTTATTTTCAAGTAGTCTTTGTCTTCTGACTCAGAGCTGCTGCTCTTCTCAGAGGACTCATCTGAGGTGCGTGTCCTCCTCCTCTTCCTCCTCTTCTCGTGGTCACTCTCCTCCTGCTCGCTCTCTGCCGTGATGCTGATTGAAACTCCCGACTTGGCTTCATCCCTTTCAGACTCTTCCTCTCCACGTGCCAAATCCTTGCCAAGGCCCTCCTGGAATTTCTTGGAGACGCTGATGCGCTTCAACACGTGGTTTAGTTTTCTCATGGAGGGCCTGGCATCTGTGGCTTTCTGGAAGTAGCTTCCCCTGATCATCATGGGTTTGTCCCCGTCCGCTTGGCGAGCTGACAGCAGCTTGGCATAGCTGGAATCCTTCCTACCTTTCACTTTCTGCAGGATCATTGGGAATATCTTTGCTTTCTTCCACCGGGAATGGGCAGACTCAGCTCTTCCTGGTTTGTGGGCACTGACTGCCACACGGCTTATATGCATCGCTCCCTTTAGCCTCCTTTTTCCCTGGCTGCTCCTAAATCCTCTTCCAGGACCATGGCTGAGGTCCATCCCAACACCTACAGGTCTCCCTTCCATTTGAGGCCCTGCTGCCTGGCTTATACCTCTGCTGGGAGGGCCTCTGCCTGGAATCATGCCCTGGAAATTATGAAAATTAATTGATTACCACTTGAAAGAGAGTTATTGTGAAAACCTGTACCTTAAAATAGGGTAGGAGAAGACGCAACATTTATTTCCCAGCATCAAAATGAACTTACCTGTTTTAGAACAGTTTTCTTACCAAAGTTATGGGAAATGGTTGGGAATTTTAGAGTTTTAGAAAGTTCTAAAATAGGCTGGAAATGCACAACTACCTTACTCTGCAATGTTACACTGAAATGTTCTGTCTTCTCATTTAATAATGGATTGAGATCTGGCACTCAGGACAATTGGACTTTTTTCTCAAAAGAAATGTTTACATTGACTTTCTTCTGATTGTCACTGACATGTTAAAATTTTTTTAGATTTCACTGTGAACTCTACGACAGATGAGTTTAGGTACTGCTTTTCTCAGTGCAAAGTCATAATTTGTAGAAAGAATATTAGTAATAGACTTCTAGAGTCCAGGAGGAGGGACCTTGAAGCCTATCCAGTGCCACCCCTTGCCATGGACAGGGACACTTTCCAATATCCCAGGTTCCTCCAAGCCCCATCCAACACCAAACTGTCCTTGGACACTCCAGGGATCCAGGGGCAGCCCCAGCTTCTCTGGGCACCCTGTGCCAGAGCCTGCCCACCCTCACAAGGAGGAATTTTTTCCTAATATCCAACCTAAAAGTTCCCTTTTTAAGTCTTTAGCCATTCTTCTTGTCCTGTCACCGCAGTTCCTGCTGAAAAGTCCTCCTCCAGCTTCCTTGCAGGCCCCTAGAAATACTGGAAGGTTTCTTTATTTGGTAATGATATAAAATGGAAACACCTAAGTGGATTTTTCTTAGAACTAAAACCAGATGTGGATACTAAGAGAAGCTCAGCAATTCTTTTTTGTGCCTGGAAAACAAAAGGAATTTAATGCTGACAAACTTTACGGGGCCAACAACGCTTAATGCTGATCTATACAAAACCTAATTCTAATCAATTCTAGCGTACAACTGATGAGGCTTGGTGGCCCTTCAAGCTGTTAAAGAGACAGAATGATCCCTCCAGAGCTGGTTCCTTACCTCCTCAGCTGCTGGCCCGTGGGGACTGTAGTAGTAGCCACCATCACTCTCCACCACCACCTCGCCGTACTCGTCGTACATTCCCGACGGGGACAGCAGGCGCCGGCGGCTCCCGTACTGCGGCAGCTCGTACCTGCCAGGAACACACAGCTCCTCAGGACAGCCCAAATGTGCTCACACCTCTCACCACACTGCCAGCACTGTGCTTGTTCACATCCAGAGCAAAGTGAACAGCTTTCCCTGTTTTATTCCCTCCTTTTCTTCCTCAGCGGCAACCAAATCCCAGATATCCTTCTGTTCCAACAGTCCCTCAGGGTAACCTGAATTTTGGGGTCTGTTGGATCAGTCAAAACCTCTCTAAGGACATCAAGTTTCCATCAATCCACCTGATTTTTTTTGGGGGGGATCTTTCTTAATAATCATGGAATGAAAGAGCAGCTTCCCTGGGATCAGTTGTGGGGAACGCCAGCAGGAATTCCTGAAGAGCTGCAGTCCAATGGGATTTATCAGAACAAGGCAGGATGGAGTTTCTTGAGGGAAATTCAAAAGGCCACCAGGCAGGATGGGGTTTGTGAGGAAAATTTAAAAGGACACAAGGCAGGATGGGTTTTTTGAGGGAAATTTAAAAGGCCACAAGGAAGTGTGGGGGCTTTTTGAGGGAAATTTAAAAGGCCACCAGGCAGGATGGGGTTTTCTGAGGGAAATTTGAAAGGCCACAAGGCAGGATTTGCTTTTTTGAGGGAAATTTAAATGCCACCAGGCAGGATGGGTTTATTTGAGGGAAATTTAAAAGGCCACAAGTCAGGATGGGGTTTTTTTGAGGGAAATTCAAAAGACCACCAGGCAGGATGGGTTTTATGAGGAAAATTTAAAAGGACAAAAGGCAGGTTTGGGGGAAATTTAAAAGGCCACAAGGAAGTGTGGGGGCTTTTTGAGGGAAATTTAAAAGGCCACCAGGTAGGATGGGGTTTTCTGAGGGAAATTTAAAAGGCGACAAGGCACGATGGGGTTTTTTTGAGGGAAATTCAAAAAGCCACAAGGCAGGATTGGGTTTATTTGAGGGAAATTTAAAAGGCCACAAGTCAGGATGGGGTTTTTTTGAGGGAAATTCAAAAGACCACCAGGCAGGATGGGTTTTATGAGGAAAATTTAAAAGGACAAAAGGCAGGTTTGGGGGAAATTTAAAAGGCCACAAGGAAGTGTGGGGGCTTTTTGAGGGAAATTTAAAAGGCCACCAGGCAGGATGGGGTTTTCTGAGGGAAATTTAAAAGGCCACAAGGCAGGATTTGCTTTTTTGAGGGAAATTTAGGAGGCCACAAGGCAAGATGGGTTTTTTGAGGGAAATTTAAAAGGCTACAGAGCAGGATGGGGTTTTTGAGGGAAATTTAAATGCCACAAGGCAAGATAGGTGTATTTGAGGAAAATGAAAGAGGTCACAGGGCAGGATGGGGATTCTTGAAGGAAATTTAAAAGGTCACCAGGCAGGATGGGTTTTTTTGAGGGAAATTTAAAAGGCCAGCAACAAGGCAGGATTTGTTTTCTTGAGAGAAAATTTAAAAGGCTACAAAGCAGGATAGGGTTTCTTGAGAGAAAATTTAAAATACCATCAGTCAGGATGGGGTTTCTTGAGGAAAATTTAAAAAGCTTCAAGGCAGGATAGTGTTTTTGAGGGAAATTTAAAGGCCACCAGGCAAGGTGGGGTTTTCTGAGGGAAATTTAAAAGGCTACAAAGTAGGATGGGTTTTTTGAGGGAAATTTAAAAGGCCAGCAGCTGGCTGGAAACTGGGAGAAGAAAGGATTAATCCCTGAACACAGGAGGGGAGGAGGTGATGGAAATTAATCTCCCAGGAGCAGAAATACACACACTAAGGGTATAAACCCAGCATGAGGGACAAGATGTGCATTCTGTAAGTGGAATAATGACATCGCTGAAGAAGCAGGGAGTTATCACACACCCCCTTAACCTCTGAAAAGAGTTTTGTTGTTGATTCACGCCTTTGTGGACACAAGGATTAAAGTAATCCTTAGGTGAAGGGAAGTCCCACGATTAACTGCTGGAATAATAAACATCACCAGCCTGGAAAAGCAGCACTTTCAGAAATAAAGAGGAAAAATGGAACTGTACCCATGCTCATAACTGTAGTAATCCTGGCCATAGTATTCCTGCCCTGGATCAATTCCAGACTCCATACTCAACTCCTGGAAAAGAGAAACACTGACTGAATGCAAACAGTGTGAAAAAGGCCCAAATGTAATTACTGATTTTATTATTCTTTATTATGTAATTACTTCTTCTGACTGCAGAAATGATCCCCATCCTGTAGCACAAAAATACCAGCGTCTCATATTTGCCCTTATTGCTTATTCTGGAAACAATTTTGGGTCTAAAAGATTGGAAATGGAAAGATTTGCAATTGCACTGCACAGCAAGGTGCTAAAGCTTCCAGCACCCACTGCTCAGCTCAGCTCCAGCTGCAGTAATCCATCAGCAGCTGATTGACACCAGGAAAAAATCAGCAGTTGGAGAGCAATGGAATGATTCTGTTGGGAAATCTGAAACTGTGGGATGAAGCCAGTGGCAGCCACTGAAAGATGCTCATGGGGAAAATCACAGATCCCGAAGTGGTTTGGAAGAGACCTTAAAGCCCATCCATTCCCACCTTCCACTATCCCAGCTTGCTCCAAGCCCCACCCAACCTGGCCTTGGAAGAAACAAAATGCAGTAAATATAAGGAAATTAATTAAAATAACATAACTGGGCTCACAATGCCAGAACTTTGCTTTTTATCTAAGAGCCAGGGGGGAAAATTACCTGAGACAGACAAGTTCTTATTAGAAAATGATGTAAAAACCATTTCAAAACTTACAGAACAATTAAGAAATGAAAAATGGTTGTACCTCTGGTCTGAGAAGAGAAGGTCTCAGCAACTGCTGTTGCTACAAAAGAAAATGAGAAAGTGGTTAATTAGGCAGCAACAATTAAAGGGCAGGTGATTGGTGTCTAAGATTAGTAATAAATGCTGAAACCATAGGTCCTTTGGTACTTTTTTTATGGCAGGCAGCTGGAGACTTTCATCCTCTGTGAGAACACATAGCAAAATCCTTTCACAATACACCATTTCTTTTGCCTAAATACAAAATCAACTTCCCAGTTTTTGTGGTGATTGCCTCACATATTTAACTCAAGAACTTCTATCAGAGGACAAGAGAACTAAGTTCTGTATTTAAATTAAGAAACACAAACCAGCTGTGCAAAGAGAGAAAAAAATCAGCAAATATCAACCTTTATGATAGAAATGTATTTTGGAGAACTTTCAAATTATCAAATGAGATTGTACTGAAGGAAATTCTTCTCCCTGCTATTCATTTCTGGAGAAAATGATACTGCAGGAGCAGCAGACCTCACAGAGCTGCAGGGAGGTCCATGGAGCCCCATCCCTGCCTGGCAGGTGATTGGGTGTGACATTGGAAAACACATCAGGGATAGAGGGAATTCCCTGGGAAGCTCCTTCTGCAGCAATCTCAGCCTGGAGGTCACACTCCTGCCACAGTGGATCTCAGCCCCCAGGGATCTACAGCTCATAAACTTCTTGAAGCACTTTCAATTTCTGGTCTCTAAAGCAGTCACTACCCGGGAATTCCCCACACTCAATCCCAGACTGGTTTGGGTTGGGAGGGAATTTTAAACTCAGCTAATCCCACCCGCTGCCATGGGCAGGGACACCTTCCACTGTCCCAGGTTTCTCCAGCCTGGCCTTGGGCACTGCCAGGGATCCAGGGGCAGCCACAGCTGCTCTGGGCACCCTGTGCCAGGGCCTGCCCACCCTCACAGGGAACAATTCCTTCAATAAATCCAAACTAAATTTCCCCTCTGTCAGTCTGAACCCATTCCCTGTGTCCTGTCCCTCCAGTTCCTGTTGCAGGGTCCCTCTCCAGCTCCCCTGTGTCCCTTCAGGCCCTGGAAGGAGCTGTGAGGTCTCCACAGACCCTTCCCTTCTCCAGGCTGAGCATTCCCAGCTCTCCCAGCCTGGATCCACAGGGAAGATGCTCCAGACCCCTCAGCAACTCCATGGCCTCCTCTGGACCTGCTCCAACAGTTCCATGTTCTTCTTATTTTTGGAGAACTGGGCACAGAATTCCAGGTGGGGGTCTCACAAGAGCAGAGTAGAAGGGAACACCTCCCCACTCCCCTGCTGCCCACACTCTTGGGCTGCATAGGAAAAGCACATTGGTATAATCAATATTTGAAAGGTAATTAGGCTCTGGCCTTACCTCTTGCTGTGCATATCCTCGCCTAGAAGTCAGAAAAAGACAAGAAATAAATTAGTATAATGCTGTGAGCCTGCACAAAGATGCCCATTACCATTCTTGCTGGAGAGGGGTGAAAGAGAATGTAATTAGAAATAGAATTAGCATGGAAAGAAATACATATCTCTAATACCAAATATGTTTTTCTTTGGGTTTGCTCTGGATTGTTGCATGGGAAATGTTGGAGAAGTTTGGCATCTTTTCTTGCTTTAGATTGTGAATGGATGAGGAGAAATCCTCAAGAGCCAGAGCATCCAGAGATACTCAGCACAGGGAAAAGGGGATTGGGAGAGGCCCTGCCCCATCCCCTCCCTCCTGTACCACCATCCACAGAGGGACCCTGTTCCCTCACGTCTGCTCAAGCAGTGAAACAACTTATCCTACTCCAGGACTTTCTGTATCCATCAGGAATTACCCTGGAGCTTGTATTACTAATTTCTTGTACCAACATTATCATTCCAATCACACCTTTCCTAACACTTACCCACTGGTGAGGAGGTAAATCCCTTTTTTTTTGCTATCTGCTGTTATTTTGCCACAGACTTTGTGCTTCTGGTCTTATGGGCAATTTATTGTTGGTTTAATTAATTTTCTTGGAGCCATTCCTGGGCATGACCAATGCATTTATGTCTGTCAAGTTCTCTATTTTCACGTTTTGTGCCTGAAAGTTGAAATGGTTTTGGCAAAACTAGAGAACAAAAAATTTAGGCCTTAGAATTTTTCTTAAGGATAAGTCTGGATTATTTTTATTATGGTTTTTAAGAAGGAAAGGGTAAATGCTCAAAATTATGTTAGGCTTAACCTAGACACAGCCAGCAGTCATGGGGAAGTCTTTAATTACACTGAATAAATAATAAAGATCAGAGAAATCCTTTTAATTCTTTAATATCCCCATCTCTAAATCCTCCTATTAATATTCAGCAGATGGAATTGATTATCAGCATTGAATTAATGCTGTCGCCTATATAATATAAACCTCATGGCCAGCTGAAATGAAGATTTATCATCCAAAGATGATCTGTGACTCTTCAAAGCCCACTTGAGGGGGTGCTGGATTTAGTTTCCATATCGCTTACAACAATCTTCAGATAAAGGAGGTCTGAGGAGAAGGAAGTCTATTACTCTTAATTGCACTATATTGCAGATTAAAGGCATATTATGAGTAATTCTAATTAAATTTGGAATTCAACTTTCATAAAAATAGCACCATGCTGAGTTTCACTGATATTTCTTGAATAGTTTTTGTGTGGCCATGATTAGAAGGAACAAAAAGTCCCCAAAAGACATAAAATATCCATTCATTCACTATAGCACGAGAATCTATTCTGGCACAAAGGGCAGGACAACATCATTTGTTTCCAGGAAGGAATGAAAGCTCTCCACAGAGGGAGGGATTGCTTCTGGGAAATGCTCTCAGCCAGACTTCACTGCAGTCTGGGAATCTTCTGTGTGGAAAGGGAAGTGAGGCCATGGAGCCTGTGAGGATGTGGGGTAACAGGACAGCCAGAACATGGAGCTGGTACTCAAGGGGAGAGACAAAGCCAGAAGGAACTCACATGGACAAAATGTGCCAACCTTTCCCTGCTAAAAGAGGTTAGAGGAACAGGGATTTGCCTAAAGCAGCATTTCCCCAATTCCTGGCACCCCAGTAGGCGTCTGCTTTTCCATAACGTAAATCTCTTTTCATATCGAAAGCAAAATCATCACAAATCCCACATACTACAGATACTCCTCAGAGGGAAGAACTACGTATCAGTTTGCCCTGGCTCCTAAAATGAAGATTTTCCTGCAGTTCAGAGCTGGAACTGAGGACAAATTGGGAAGAAGGATAAGTAATGATAACACTGATGCCATCTCTGCTCCTGCTCAGGACTTGGCTCCGTGAAGGTGATGATGAAAAGATGAGATACATCCAGGGTCACAGAGGACCCCAACTGACCAAATCAGACAATCTGGGAGGGATAAATTATATATAAATTTAAATTACCACAGATGTTCAACTTGCTACCAACTCCTACACTGGATCTAATCCTTTGTAGCACTGCAGAACTGCAGCACCATGGAATTGTGGAATGGTTTGGGTTGGAAAGGACCTTTATGCTCACTCTCTTCCACCTCTACCCACTTCCCACTATCCCAGGCTGCTCCAAGCACTGTCCACCCTGGCCTTGGGCACTGCCCAGAACCCAGGGGCAGCCACAGCTGCTCTGGGCACCCTGTGCCAGGACCTGCCCACCCTGCCAGGGAACAACTCCTAATTCCCAATATCCCATCTAAATCTCTCCACTTTTTGTTTAAAACAGTTTCCTCTGCACCACCCAGACATCTCAATGGGACAGAATTTCCCTGGTACAGCTTCCTTCCCAGTCTAACATAGTAATTTTTTAAACAAAGGCTATGGAAAAAAAAAAAAAAAGCCAGCAGGAGAACAAAGGTTGCATTATATCCAGACAAAATGAATCCAGTTTTGTAAAGTTTTCAACTTCATAAAGATTTCCAGAATGAGAAAGTAAATGCCCCTCATCAGAGAAGAGCTGATTGCCATAACCCCCTCCCAGACTGTTATGAAATGATGAAATCAAATATTTAAATTGGAACTTCTGTGTGATGTCCACTCCTTCTGCTTAAGGAACATCCCAATTAACTGTAGCCAAACTGAACCATTGGAGTTTATGCTGTGAATGACTGCACACCTCCACTTTTGCTATGTGACCTTACACACCCCAAAATCAGGTCCTATTTGTGCCATATCTCACTGGGGATGTAAAGATCTGCACGACAGCAGCTGTTTACAAGCTCTAACATGGGACTTGTGTACTTAAATTTAAGTTTCTGTCTTTGGGGTTGATCCAGTCTGAACATGAGCAGCCCAATAATTTTTCATGGCCCATCTCTGCCGTCTTCCCACTGTCCCCTCACCAGGACCATGACCAGGACACAGAAGGGAACTTTTAAGTCATAATCCCACTCTGGCTCTTCTATCCTAAACATTTTCTACCAAATAGATGCTGAGCTTTGGGGATATGATTAAAACATTGTAGTTGTGCCACCTTTGGAGAAATGAGCAGCAAAAATGTGCACATCTCATAAATGACAGAGATTCTGTTACAGCAAAAATAGGACAATAGATTAATCCCTCCCCTCACATATTTAGCTACTCCTACACCACCTTGATCTTACAACCTATCCCAACAAGGGTTTTAAGTAAAGGAAAATTCTAATGGATCAGCAGAATTTGTGGAATGGAGTTCATGGAGTTTGGCACTGGGACAAACAAAGAGAAACTACCTTGAGCAGCTTTTGACTGAAGCATCCACACATGTCCTAACTGCAGACTTCAAAAACAAAACCAAAAAAACCAAAGAAAAAAACAGGAGAAAAGAGAAAAAGCCGAGCACCATGAATATGTTGAGTCTGATAAACAGTCTGATAAAGAATTAATTACCTTTTTGCTCAGAATTACAGTGCTGATTCTGAACTGGAGTTTTAGTTTTGCTTCATTAGGTAACATCTGCCTTTCCTAAGATGGTTTTTTGAAGTTGACATATTAAACTTTTTAGATTTTGGCAAAGGACTGAAAGGAAACTTGCAAGCTGAACCAGACATTTAAATGCCCAAACTGCTTTTACTTACCATTTTTTCAAAGGACAAGCTAATTTACTTTATATATACATTTATAACTGACATACTTATGTAAATGTAAAGATCTGATTTAGACCACTGCGAGCAAAAAGGCTGGTAAGTAAATCCACATTATGTGGATTTTTACAAGTACTTGGAAACCCTTCACCTGGTGACACTAATCAAAGTGACTTTATTACAATTTCAGTGAGATGTTTCAGCTCGTGACAGACCAGCATGGAAATTAAAGAGAGACAGCAATAACATGCACATGCAAAATCATAAAAAACAAACAACAAATGCTTTGTACATGAAAGGAATTTAGAAAATATAAACTTTTCACATGCAGTTACAATATAAAAAATATGCAATGGAAGGCAGAAGATGGAGAACAGGAGTGGGGACATAGCCGTATTTGCTGAGACACCAAGAGCAAACCCTTCTTCTGACTGTAGACTGGAACTGAGCTGCCAGAAAACGTCAGCAGAGCAGAGCCCATGGAGCAGGGAGATGCAGTATGGAATTATGGAATGCCTGGGTTGGAAGGCACCTTAAAGCTCATCCCATGGGCAGGGCCACCATCCCAGGCTGCTCAGGGCCCATCCAGTAACCCGGCTCACCAAAGCTGAGCCTGCTATTCCCAGGCCTTCCTTGCTTTGATGCCCAATATGTGGTAGAAGATTCCTTCCAGGTGGGGAAAAATTCCTTCCTTTTTATGGGCAAAGCAAGAGATTCCAATCACAGCTGCAGGAAAATCTGACTGACGTTACCTACAGTGAAGGCTGCTTAAAGAAGTACGGAGCCTGCTGCCACCTATGCCACATCCTTGGGTAAAAATGGACAGTTTCCCCCAAGAATTTACAGGAAACAGACTAAGAACCAGCAAGATGCAGTTCTGAGAAAACAGCTTGGAGAATTGTATTTTACATCACAAATTTCCGAGCGAACGGGAAGGACAGCGTCTCTCCATTTGGGATCGGGAGTGGGTAAAGTCGCGTACAGCAGAGAAAAGGGGGAAAGTCAGGACTTCTGGAGAGTCTGAGGCAGATACTGTGTGCTGCATTAGAGTCTTCCCACTCAAAAAAAAAAGCAGGGAAATCCACCTGTGAGCATTACAGAGCTGTCGACTGGGAGGGGAAGCGTTTCTCCAGCTCCTCCACAACACAGCTCAAGTTCCCATTCTGCTGGTTGTGCTCGGCTGCGGCTTCTGGAGTTGGGAGCTCCGGGGTTGGGGCTGGTTTGAGCTTGGGGACGTGCTTGGGCAGCAGGTGGTTCTTGTCTATTTGGCTGTACATGTTGGCCACCGACTTCTCAATGGCAGCCAAATTCTGAATGTTTTTAAGAATTCCTTTGAGCTCCCTGCGG